CTAAATTTACCAAATAATTGTTAAATTCTCGGCAACTAAGCGAATTTAGTTCGTTTAGCAAATTTTTTTTTTCAGTGTACGCATAATTAAATATAAGTGTGTCAGTTTTGTTTATAAAGCGAATAAAGTAAATTGTCTTCTTAGTTAGTGCGGTCACAATTGTACAATAGTTTTGACACGGTTAAAATAATGAGTGACATCGAAGGTACACGGACGTCTTCACGATTGTTGAGAAAACGAAAATATTACGCGAGAAAAAAATTAGAAAAAAAGAAAATGTTTAATAATGCAAACCGACAATGAGGTTAACAAAGATAATTTTTCTAAAGAAATTCCGGGCGAAATCTTGGACCGATCTGAATTCAGCGATAGGGCCTGTTCGATTTAGGCGTCCCAAACTTTGCACACACCCTAGCTAGATTTTCCACCTGAATCGCAGAAATGTTTTACAAAAAATATATAGGGCCCTGATTGTTTTCAGGCAAAATTTCTATCTGGGTTATTCAATTGGAAATTACATTAAAAGCTTATTATAGCTTTCGCCATCCTTTGTAATAGTTTTAATAGTACTTGCTTTGATTGTAGAAATCTCAATAATCTTCACACACAAAAATAAAATAATAATAAAAATTTTTAATAAAGCTAATTGTAAGATGTAAAAATTTATTATACTATAAAAAGATGAAACTTATTGTTGAATTAAAACTTCTTTTATAGCTCTGTAGTACATTAAGTTTAAATTTTAAATAAATATCCTTATACGAGTACGTATACTTTTTAAATTTAAAATAATTTAGAGGACAAATAAACTTTTTGAAAAAATTCTTTTGTCGAAGAAATAAAGGAATTAGGATTATAGGTGTTATGAAAACTGTATTTCCGATTCTTATTTTTAAAATAATAACGAAATTATTACGGAGCAAAAGTAAAAATTTTACTGAAAGTTTCGTTATTCGAATTAAGCGAATATCTTTTTAAAATCGAAACGTGCGAAGTGCTGATCGCGTGAGTCGCAACGTCACTAAAAGCAAGAAAGTGTGACGGTACATCCGTACGTGTGTGCATGTATACCAGCACACTTGTGTCGTCATTTACAGGAAAGATGGTAGAGTGACTTGGCCGGACTATCGATTTGGCACATATTCCACTCGCCATCGATAAACGGCTTATAAATGTGGTACTGTTTGTATTTCATGCAACTGCTACACAATAATGTTATAACGGACAAAACCTCGCTATGGTTAACCTGCTTTTTAAGAACATGATAAGTATGCTATAAGTCAATTTTCTTAATTATCCGATATAAATTTTATCCAAAACAAATAATTATGGACTGATACACATTAAAATAAAATAGAATTATAATATAGATATACATATGCGTAAATACGAGTATGTACATACCTAAACATGTATGAATGTACAGCTATGTCCAAAATTTTTTAGCAAACAAATTGTTTTTCTAGTATTTCCTTAATCTACATAAAAATAAGTGAAGTAAAAAGGTTGTAAATATAAGTCCTTATTTGTAAGCCTCAGACAATTTGATATTTTATCACTCGTCTTTTTTATTTTGTTATGTACAGGGTGTCTCATTTTAAATGATCCACGTAAACATTTCCAAAAATATGGACGATACGGAAAACCGTCTCAAACAAAAGTTGTTTGATTCGAAGGGGGACATAAGGTAGTACCATTGACTTGACCTTAGATAGTCATTTGAAGGTCACGTAAAGGTCACCTCCAATTTTTTTAATGAAACCCCCTATTGTTTATTATACCATCCTATTCTACTAATTAATATGAACACCTTTTGTTTGAAACTTTTTTTATTTGCCTAATACTGTTTGAGATATTCAAGAGAAAATTTATAACTTTTTCAATGGTTAGCTTATAATATCTCGATAACTGTTTGTCGGAGAGAAAAGTAGTACAGGATATTTTTACTTGATTTGGTCTCAGGAATATGCTGTTGCAATAGTGCTCCAATTATTGAAAATTTTTGTGCATGTAAATTTTATGTGTTATAATACATAAAAAATTTCACTAATTGGAGCACTATTGCAACTGCATATTCCTGAGACCAAATCAAGTAAAAAAAGTCTTGTACTACTTTTCCTTCCGTTCTAAAATACATTTTATTAAAATTTTCATTAGCCGATCATACTTTCCACAATTAGATGCAAAGGTGCTTTATCTCACTTTTTAAATATTATTTTTCTTTTCAATTACATTCCCCTCTTTCTCTCCCTCTCAATTTCTCCAGTAAGACTTACTGTTGTTTAATAAAGTTGAAGTCAAAACTTTATGATGGCTAACTTAAGAACCTGACTTTATCTTACTCAAACTATACCTCTTTTAATCGTATGAAATGAAGCATTTTCATGTTAGGAAGATACATTTTAATATCAATTTTCTAAAATTTTCTCTGCAGGAGACCACAAGATTTCTCCCGTGGACTACGTATGTAGTGGAATTTATTCATACGCAGAGAGTAGCTAATAATTTTGGACATGGTTGAATATGTGAAGGAAAGTCCTCTATTATGAGATAGGTTTCTAATATGAGGAGCAAGTTTACAACACCCACATTCAATCACACATCTTCTTTCGCAACGATTACACGATCTAACAATGAATTTTTCACTAAACAGATTTGACTCCAAGGGCAATACATTCATGGTGGAATCAACAGATGATGCCTATTAATTTAACAGAAACCCCGCTATCTCATATTAAGAGTCTATCTCATAATAGGGGACTTTCCTCTACATGTAAGTATATGTAAATGTATGCGCGCGTGCGTGCCTGTGTGTAGTAGAACATGTATACGCATACGCACGTGCGATTACTTATTTATACGTAACTCGTTACATCTTTTTTGTGACATATTTTCTACAATTTTATTGTTCATTAATATATTTATAGTCATATGCGTATGTACGAGGAAAAGGGAAATTACTTAATTAAACGGGTTGGAAGGCATGTGATTTAAGTCAAATGAATTCTAATTATATCTAGAACGAGAGATCTGCAAAAGAATAAAGAACTTGATATCTCGTTGCGGTGAAAAGTGCAACATCCATACACGCGTGAAGAAACATGTGCGCGTGTTTTGATGTGGTCGCTAAGCTACAATACGCTCGATATATGACAATACTGTTTCTCGTACGACTTTTTTTCTGGCTGGAGATAATCAAATAAAGAAAGTAATATTGACTAATGAGTCTTAGAACTAATAATATGCACATAAGCTGATGAAGCAAGTAAAACATACATAATTTGAAAGTTAAGAACGTATGTATTTCAATATAAATTATAATCCATTCAAGTAGCGGCATTGAAATAAATGAAATGTTGCGAGAGATTAGAATGTACCCCCTCTCCCCTCTCTCTCGCCACTCCCTCCCTCTCCCCCTCTCCCCTACCCTTCTTTTCTGCGTCTCTCTCTTCCTCCTTCTCTTATGCGCATCTCTTTTTCTTTCCTTATCCTTCCCCTTTTCTTTCGCACTCTTTATTCTTCCTTTACTTTCCATCCGATTTTTTCTCAATCTTTCTTTATTTACTACTATAAATCACTTTTTCTCAGATTATGATTATTTATTTTCATGATGTTATATGATAGTAATAAATATTAGTAATTGAATTTTTAATTTGCATTTACTAGATGGATAATATAAAGAAAAAACAATACTTGGTCGGTGTATGTGACATACCTGACATCCTTGCTGCAATTCTTTTTGGGATATAGGTCGACATCTCACTGCTACTTTTACAGACTCGGACATCTAGACATAGAAGAGAATTTTCTTTAATCCATTTTAATATTTTATTAAAATTGTTATGATAGAAGTCCTGATAACGTTCATTTGTAATGTATGAAAGTAAAAGTACATACAATATTATAAAAAAAGTTTCTTCGATACAAAACGTTTTTCATGGTAGCAAAAAAGGAAATGTAAAATTACATATAATGCAAAAAAATTTTGTATTTTTTTTAGTAAACATATGCTTCAGTTTGATTTTTAAAATAAACTTAAAACAATGATAGACTAAAGAAGATATCATCTATATATTATTTAATATATTATGTTTTGCATAGAAACATCTGTGTTAATTTATTTCTTTCAGATATTTTATATAAGAAATATTATAAAATATTGCATAGAAATTATTTTTATTAAGATAACAAGTATTTGATATTTTTATATTTCAACATTCAACACCTTTTGTTATGCTAATTTATATTTTGCATATTTCCGAAATGTATTTGTCCCCAATGTTATTTTCTATTACGGAAAATGTGCACCAAGTGTTGCATGAAAAATTGGGCAAATAAACAAGTATGGATAACGTGTGTTGTCACAGAGGCATTTGTAATTAATTCTTCAAAATAATTTTTTTGGAAAAGTACTGTATTATATATGTTTGAATTTAGAATAATTTTTAATTCTCGAATATAAAAAAATCCAGAATTTTAAGAAAATATAAATAATAGTGGAATATTTTGATGAATAGAAAATATTTTATCAAAATTTTATCAAATTTTGTCAGTATTTTATAGTAAAATAAAATAAATCTTGAGATAAATTAGACATTATTTAAAACTTTTCTTCTATCTTTTATAATTTTAGCAATACTTGTTCCGAAGAAAACTGAGTTTTTCAAAAGGGTGTTTTATCTTCCAAAATTGCTATTAAACAGCCTTGTTTGTTAAATAGAATTCTGACTACACGAATGTACGAATATACGCCGAAAATAACTTCATGTAAAAAAGTATTTGTGAGATCCTGTATGTATTATGTGTAACAAATATATATAGCTAGATGGTAATTAGGTATAATAATCAATAATAAAAGATAGAAATTGTATGGCATTTATCTTATAAATAAAATACGGAAGTTATCAAATATCATCAAGAATATTGCTGTGAGACATTTTTATTGGATATTCCACTCGTATGTCAGCTGACCTTCAATAGTAGGCTGACCTTGTACCTAAGGTTAAACCGTCTGGCTCGTGACACATCGCGTTTTATATGTGCGTGAGTACACTCGTATGAGATGGTATATGTGTATTCAGACAAACATAGAAATATTTTAAGGGATGTTCCCAACAAACACATAATGGCATGTAGTAATGTAAAGTAATATAAAAGTAGTATAATTGTACTACTTTTATACCAACTTTAATAACTACTAACTGCGTTTAACAAACGTTTAATACACAACTACATGTTTATTGAACTTAATGTATTATACATAGAATTATTATTAGTAGTAGTAGTACTAATTAAATTGGAGAAATAATTCTATGTAGTAGTAGTAGTAGTACTACTATTAAATCGATTTTACTTATAATCTATTAGAATTTTACGCAGAATTACCGTTATAACTTTACAGAAGATAAACTTTTTTAAATTAAAATGAGTTTCTATTTGTTTTTACTAACTAATCATAACCATAACATAAGTGGATGATCCAATATGACTAAATGATTAAATTAACTTTGAATTAATCTGCGAGAAAAAGTCTCCATCTACAAAAACAATCCATAATTAAGCAATTCGTGTGCAAAATATTTCGAAAATTATTACATATCTGATACAAATAGCAATAAATATTTAGGATACTACAAACACGAGATGAAATCAGAACATTATAATTTCTCACTTCTGTAAGAAAATCTTTTTTTTGGGGGGTTTCCTTTGTAACGTTTCTCTGTCTTGTGTTTCGACTTTTAAGCATATATGTAGTGAAGTAGCTGTATTGCTTTTCTACAATACTGTAATGCGTCATTCTATTAAACAGCCGAATTCAGATTGAAGGGTAGATATGTATGACGACCGCTTGACCGAGTGAAGCTCCAAGTTTGACCTAGTTATGAAATCTGTTATAATACTGTTTTTACTTGCTTGTGACACAAGAAGATTTCGAAAAATGCTATAACATTTGTACATTTTTATAGAGTGATCTTTTAAATTACAAATAATTGCACTCTTATTTTGTATTACAGGATACGCAGTGTGTAACACTTAAAATGTTTTCTCCGAAACTATTAGAGGTGGCGAGGAAATTCTTTCTGCAGTTTGTATGGTTTGTTGAGGTTTTTTTAATGATGGACAGAAATGCTACTCTTCCCAAAAGAACCAAAACAAATAATTTCATATAATTGGGATTGATTCTTTAACTTAATTTTCATAATCACTTTTGCTGTAGATAAAATTTCTTTGTATGCCACTGGAATTGGCTTTTTGGAACTTTTTATTTTTTGAGTCTAAATATCTTGAGAAATAAAACCTTTAACAGGAAATTTTTTATTTTGTTAATTTCTGTTTTCTGAAAATTTCTCCCTCTTATAAATTTTTAATATATTCTTTATGTGTTAATAAATAAAAATAAGGGTTCCGATAAGATAAAAACAAATAATAAGTTTCTCGCTTTTTTATTATAAAATTAAAATATTTTCCAAGTTGTACTTTATTACGATTAAGTGTAAATAAAGTTTTATTATTTATCTATAATCCTGAAATAAACTCTGCTATTTATTAACTTGAGAACTATAAAAAATTTGGATATTCTACCTAAGAGTATAGATTCCATGTGAATTGAAAAGTCAATCTACAAAGATGTCCTACGTTTCGCAAAACAAGTGCAAAACCCTGTATGTTCTAAAATTAAACAAAGTTTTTAATATTGGTCTTTCGCTGTTTGTTGTCACTTACACCGACGAAGAACGCGTTCTCTCTCGTAATTTTATATTGGTAAACACAGGAACATGACTATTTGACGCATGAAAGTCGAGTCGGAGCGGACTTGAAACGACATACGATAATGCGTACGGAACGACGAACACGTTCAGACTGGCGATGCCGCGCAGGTCACAGCGTCGCGACGCCGACGCTCTACCGTCGTGGCTTATATTAAATTCGAATCGTTGCAGCAGCGCGCGCGTATTTCGATGCGCGCTCTGATTGGTTGTTTGATAGCCGCTGCAGTTCAAATCTGTTATCTTGACTTATTTCAGCCGATGCATCATTACGTTCTATTTGTTTCTTTTTGCATTGAAGCTGTAGTTTGCATCCAGATATTGGAGGAAAAAGAAAAAAGGGAAGGAGGAAGGGAGGGAGGGAGAAAGAGAGAGAGGGGGAGAGGAAGAGAGAGGGGAGAGAGTGTCATTTGTGCTATGTGGGTATACACAAAGTATTATTGCATCTAC